TACCCTGCAGAAGCCAGACATGGGGGAGGGGGAGCAGGGCCACTCCAGACGACCCAACGGGTCCCTGGGAGAAGCACGCACTTGCCTCGATGTGGTAGACTATTCGCCAGAAGCTGGAGTCTGAGCCTCGGTACCGTCTTCCAGGATAGAGCTGCCACATCAAAGGCAGTGGGCTCGGGGGCAGCTGGCTGGGGCGCATGGGCTCCCCCCGGGGGACGTCTTCCTGACGCAGGAGTACCTGGAGCCTACTTTCTGTCTGAGGAGGAAAAGGAGACCGCGGTACACCTTCGGGGCTCCTCCAGGTACAAATAACCAGGGTCCTTCCTGCTACCTGCCCGGCCGTCTGGCATCAGAGATGCTGGAAACCACTGATCTAGAAGCTTCCGTTCCTAAGCCATGTACACTCATCTCAGGGACTCTCACTGGGCCAGGACACCCAGACACAGCCACAAAGGCCCAGCTTCTTCCTGATGAACTTCTCGTTGCTAGGGTACGCCACAGGGCCCTGGAGCTTCCTTAACTACACGGTATGGTGCCTATTTCGGTTAATGTAGGATTGTCTTTGACTTTATTTTGTTGTATATTGCCTTTTAAGCAAGATATCCCTGGACCCCAGAATCAGGGACAGACCGTGTGTTGCCGTCCCCATTACTTCCCCTCATCGTCATCTCTCACCTGGACTATTGCGATGACATCCTAACTCGCTGCCTGGTTGGTCTTGTGCCCCAAAATATCAGTCCCTGGCACAGCAGCCAGGGTGCGCATCCAAAAGCCATGTCACTCCCCTCCCTGCTCAACGCCCTCCAATGCCTTCGCATCACAGGCAGGACGAACTGAAATCTTTACCCGGGCCCATAGGCCCACGCAACCGGGCCGGTCTCCCTCCTCTCCCACCGTCTGTCCACCACCTTCCACCTCGTTCCAGCCACACAGGCCTCCTCACTATTTCCGGGACATGCCACACTCCCAATAATCTCTTGTGCCCGTTGTCCTCTGCCTGGAACATTCTCCCCTAGATCTACGCAGGGCTCACAGCCTCCTTTCAGGCAGAACTCTGCCCAAATGTTTGTCTTCTATAAAGACAAATTTCGGCGAAATCCAACTTTATGACATATAAGAGCCATGTCTAAAACAGAGGTTCCGAAAGGTTTTTTAAAAAAAAAAAATGATGGGCAAAAGCATGACAAGCAAATGCAAATCAGACTCTCGAGGGGTCCTGCCTGACGACCCCAACCCCACTGGTTAGACACCCATGTTTGTTCAATTTTTCCAAAGTGGAACTAGATAGCTTTTTAAATTTTTCTGTCCATGAAATAAATTAGAACTCACTCTTAAATAATTCAGATCACTCTGCAAGGTGTAAGTATGGAAATCACCATTCTTGCTGTGTTAATATATAATCTTCCATATCCTTTAACCGTTTTTAATTTGCTTATTCATCGTCTGCTTCTTCATTTAAGGAAGACTTTATATATTTAGAATACTGGTCCTTTCAGTTACCTGAGACAAATTCCACTCCCCCCAGTTTGCTCATGTGTTAGGTTTGTGCAGCATTTATAATGATTATGTGAAAAACTCTGGTTTTGGTGTCATGTTGAAGATATTCCAAAACTAGAGACTAAAAAAAGACATTCACTTACATTTTCTTCAAATACTTGACTTAAAAGAAGTAAATACTTAACTTGATTTTTAAAAGTATATATATATGTATATTTCAAAAAAAAAAAAAAATTAAATGCCAACAAAGATGCAAATTCAGATGATGGTTAAGAGCCTGAAATCTCAACCCCATTACCTAACTAACAGTACTACTTTGGGCAAATTTATATTTTATGCCTCAGTTTCCTCATCTGTAAAATGGGGACACAGTCGCTACTCAACAACTTTTTGCTGTTTGCTATTTTATTACATAAATGTTCTAATATTATATATTTCCATTTTGCTTTCACACTTTCTTACTTCGGTTTGCATACAGAAAGAGTTTCAGCATTTTCCACCTAAGTTACTTTGATGAAACCCATGCTCCAATGGAAAGTACTCCAAGAGAGAGATATTTCTTTAAAAAAAAGCTAACATTAACTGAAGTTCCAGCTTAAGTCATCACACATGAAAGAAAGTCAACGTTTACTCGACGCTGGCTTTTATAACACTATATTATCTGTGTAATATGTTTGTGGATTCTTTTCCAAAGCGTGGCGGAGTTAGGAAGTATCCCTAACTCCAGGTCAGTGGTTCACACGCTTGGTTGACCATGATCTATCTGTTCAGGGTCCTTTTAAAATACAGATTTCTGGGGCTCAGGGAAGGAGACGCTGATAATCCGCCACGCGTATGAATCACTTAGAGAGATATTATTCCCTTTTTATGGATTGGGGCCCTGACACCCAGAAAATCCCTGTTTTCCTCAAGATCCCATTCACGCACTCCAGAGGCACTGGGTCCCCATCTTTGGCCAACATGCCTTTCTCCCGAGCTCAGTCCAGGCCTGGAGAACTGCTCGTCCTTAGAGTCCTGCTCACACTGGTTTCATCTGTGAGCCGCGCTGGCCGCCCTGGGCAGATCTGGGCCTCTCCGCCATCGCGCCCACCTGCTGCACCCGAGGGGCTCCTCGAGGAGGTGCACGACCTGGGGCGTCTCTGGCACCCCGGACCTGGCCAGGGAGGGTGACGCCCATGCTGCCCTGCCCGGCCCCACAGCGGCCGTACCTCCGTGATTATGGGCAGCCAAGTGCGCTGGTTCTCGTCCACATACACGGCCTTTCGCCAGATCCACAGGTGGTCGGGGTGCAAGGCCGTGTACGCCCTGAATCGGTGCTCACCCATGACGCCTCGGGTGGTCTAAGGAGCAAGAGCCGGTGCCTCTCAAAGCCTCTCGCTTGTGGATGGGACGCGGGGCCCGGGAGCTTTATAGCGGAATGGCGCGGTCGCCCCCAAGCGGCGGGGCGGGAGCAGGATGAGGCGCAGGGCGGGGTAAGGCGCGCGCCCTCCCGGCAGGATGGGCGGGATGCAGGGCACGGTGGGGTGACCCACGGGATCCAGAGCTGCGTCTGCGCCCAGGCCTGACGGGCCCTGGACCCAGGCGGGGTCTAGGAATGCAGACGTGGGATCCCTCAAGGCTCCCAGCCTCACTCGCCGCCCCCTACTCTCCACTGATGGGGAGGCACCCTGGCCTGTGGCCTTGCCCTTTCTTCTGTCCCGAGGCCCCGGCATCCCCCTCTAGGACCCCACTGTCCAAGTCAGCCAGTGTGTGTGGCTGGTCAAGCCACACCCCAGCCCGGGACTCCAAGGCTCTGCTTGAAACTCACAGTTTACGCCAGGCAACCCCGAGCCAGGGGTCCCTCCATGTCTTCTGGCATCAGAAGAGACCTATGCAAGCCTGGACCGGGCCTGGGGGCCCCCAGGTCACGGAGTCATCTTCAGCCTGTGGGTCTGAGTGTCAGAATCCATCTTCTTGGCAAAGTGCGAGGCTCGAAGCCCCCTCTCCCTCCCACACAAAAGCCACGCATTTCCCATGGCGTCGATGCTGCCGTGGTGGTCACCTCCTAGCTATTGTGAAACACAGTGGTGAAGAAACATGGATTTTTCCCTTCATGGGCTTTGAATTCACTAGTGAAAACATTGTTCAATATCAATACTTAAAAAGAAACACTTCCCTCCACCCCAGGACCAGTGGACTTGAAAAGGTCCTGGCTTATGTGACCAAACCATCTCTCTGTAAATTACAACAAAGAAGGAAAATCATTTCACTTCATTTTTGCAGCCACACGTGCCCATTAAGGCAATTAAGAAAATTAAGTACCACGAGAAACATGTATCATGAGCTCTAGCCTCATTCCTCCACGGTCACCACTGGGAGCAGTTTGGTGCCTCATCTTCTCGCTCTTTCCTGTCACTCTGACCAGGCACCAAGAAAATAGTTTGTGGTCTTTTGAAATGTCATGAAAATGAAAATGAGCTTAACATCTGATCCCGGACAGCAAAGATAGGTAGGTATCTGCTCCTCTGCCTAGCCAGACAGAGAATTCCTAAGAAGGTGCTGCAGTGGCCGACGGCAATAGAGATATAATTGGATTTGCCAGGAACTTAAAATGGAAGGAAGATAAAAGCCAAGTAAAGTTGGGAATGAAGGGAGAAGACATCGGGCCAGCAAAGCTCTTTCCCAGTGCAGCCCTTAATGGTGTTAGGACTTCATTATATGCAGAGCTGTGGCTTTCAGGCTGATTTCCCTGTGGGTTGCTCTTAATTCCGGACCCAGGTAGTCGCTGGGAGCAAAGTAACATGGTGATGTGCTCTGTGGGGGCCGCCTCAGGCCAGTCCTCAGCACTGAGGTTCATAATGGTGACAAGTCCAGCTCAAGCGGTACTGCTGGGATAGCCTCTTGTGGCAAAAAGGGGGCACCCCGGAGCCATGCCGCCACTGACTCAGTCACAGCCATGGCTCCGGGACCCAGAATGCCACCCGGTCTGCCCATTTCATTAGCACTTGTTCTGCTTTTCTAAGAGGCCACAAAGGAACAATGGAGACAAGACCCACTTGGCTGGCCGTGCTTCTGAACGTTCTGGGACTAGGATCCTCGCCTTTGAAAGAACAATGAACTTCTTCAGTTTCACACAAAACTGGGCTTCTTATTATTGAGCAAGAGAATGCATCATTATTCTGGGGGATTTAGAAAATCATTTCAGAAGGGGTTCCAGAAAATGCAAAGTGAAAAGAAGGATGCCTGAGTTCATTGGGCAGCTTCTGTGGAGGCCTGAGCAGAATTCTCTACGGAAATTCCATGAGAGGAGGAAATAGGAAGCCTGTCTGGCATGTTTTGATCCATGTAAGGGCTCTCTGGCCAGTCAGCCTCGTTTCAGAGCTGTGTTTTCCTTCCAATGCTCTGTTTATTAGTCCGCCAGCTCCTGGAGGATAATCAAGTGGATGTTTCATGCAGAAAGTAAGACAAAGCAATTATTTGGACTTACAAAGAGAATCCTTAACTGATACTTTCATGTCCTGATTTGGATCCAGTTTTAACTGTGACCTGTGAAATTTGCCATCCTTTGACATCTCATTGCCATACTTTTGTAATGAATGGGCCAAGCTCAGTGCTCTCTAAGCCTGTTGCTAACTCAACAGTCCCTGATCCTCTGATACAAAGTTGCCTCGTGGGAGGAGAGAACGATTAACAGGAGAGATGGATTAACTTAAGACCTTAGTTCAGGAAAGTCTATAGTTTTGAGCAGAATGGTTCTGGATATCAAAGACCCTCGTGGAATTCATTCTTCAGGAGTGAAGAAGCCATCCTCTCATTTGGGTTCCAAAGAAGGGGCTTGAGGGTGCGTATGAACCAAAGCCCCGCTTTCCCAGGTGTGGTCCCTGGACCAGCTACACCTGCGTCATCTAGTGCTTGTGAGAACTGCAGAACCTCAAGCTCTCCCCAGACCTGCTGCGTCAGAATCTGCATTATAACACGATCCCCAGGTGATTCGTAGACACATTAGCTGTTGGCAAACAGAAGGAGGATCGGGAGGGTGAGATGGTGGGTATCAGCCTCATTCTACCAGCTGCCTCCAAATTTCTCTGACACAAGAGCCGAATATGTGTTTCTGTATCACTTAGTTCCAGGTTGCCTTAGTTTCTGTTAAAATCACTTCTAATATATAAAGTGTTTCCCTTTTAAAATCCTGGTACGCTGTGTCATCCTAACCATCATCCATGATTGCAGCAAGCTGTAAAGGGCCTGTAAAGGCGTCCTGGCCTCTGGGTTTTGCAGTGGCCCCAAATCATTAAGCTAGTGGATCCCAGCCCTGGCTGCTAATTAGAATCACCTAGGAAGCTTTTACAAAACACCTGTGCCCGGGGCCCACCCCAGACTAATGAGACCAGAATCTCTGAGATGGAGGATTGGGTGTAAGTTTTTTTTAAAGAGCTCCTCGGGCGATTTAGTGTGCAGCCAGGCTTGACAACCAGTTCTCTAAGATTCGAATTACCATTTTTGAACAAGATTTATGAAACTAAATAACTGTGAAAATGTTAAAGCTATTCTTTCTGCTGTCAATTCTCACCGTAAACCTCACCCCAAGCCCACACTTCACTTCAAAAGCCCTTCTTTTAATTTGCTGCTCCAATCCTTTGTGTGCAGAGAACACCAAGATTATCAGGATCGTAGGGGTCTAAGATCTCACCAACGTGAAACATAGATATGTAGATGTTAAGGCATCCACGCTGGTTGCCTAGGGTTGTATTTTAATTATTCCTAGGTCTGGGCCATATTTTAGGTAATTAAGGCTGATGATCAAGTGAGCTCAGGGCAAAAGGGATGTTATAGTCTTTCCCCAAAGGGATGAAATTTTCTTTCTCAATTACTGGAGAATCTGGGGCAAGGATTGTCTATGTAAAACTCAGACTGATCTTGGCTTTACCCGCTGATGGCCATTATCGCTCTCTTTAAGATTAACAGAATTTTCTTTAAGTTTTAAAAGCTCCTTAAATTTTCAGGTATATGTGGCAATCTTGTTAAATAGCAGATTCTACTTTGGTAGGGCTGGGTTCAGATTCTGCATTTCTAACAAGTTCAAGATGAGCCTTGTGCTGATGGTCTGTGAGCAGCAAGACCAATACTAATCCACAACTCACACAAAGCACAAATGCAAAAGCAAACATACCTATAACCCCTACTCGAAATGCACCAAGCAATTGACCTTGACCACGCTGGCAAAGTATCATGTAGTAGACTTGCAACAGACACTTTGAGCTAGAAATGTGGCTCCCATTGGCCAGAGACAAATTAAAGTTTACTCTCATATTGGTTTTAACGGTTGGTTTATCAGCAAATGATAGTTTTTCCCCCTCTTCCTTTCCAATCTCTGTACTTCCGTCTCTCTGTCTTTCCCTCAGTCTCTTTCTATCTCATGGACTTTTGGTGTTTGTTAAAATACATTAAATAACAGGAGTGAGCAATGGCAGGCATTCCTACCTTATTCCTGCCTTTAATGAGAATTCTTCTAACGGTTAATCAGTAAGCATGTCAGCTGAGAGTTTTAGTAGGTATGCTTTATTGGTTAAAGAATGGCCTACCGTTCCCAGTTCTTAAGCGTCTATACCCTGAGTATGTGCTGAATTTTATCGGGTGTCTTTTTTGCATTTATTGAAATGACCTACATTTGCAATGAAGCAGGCACAGCAGGTTCCACCCAGCATCCATTTCCCTCATTTGGGGGGCTGTGGGGGGACGGTCTACCTCCAATGTGTTCAAGTAACTGAGACTAGGGTGGCCATGAGTAAGTCCTGATTTCTCTAAGGCAGTTCCTGGTTTGGGGTGACCACATGCCTGAGTTCCGGCCCATGAGGCCTAAGCTGGTTTTTCTTTAGATCTAGAAAATTCTCAGCTCTGATTTCTTCAAATGTTATGGTTTCTCATTCTCTTTATTTTCTTCTTTCGTGATTCTTATGAAGTAGGCGCTTGTGTTTCTGCATTCATCCTCCATGTCTTGGCTTATTTTTTGCTCTTTCCTTCTCTTTAGCTGATACGTTCTGGGAGACTTCCTTAAACTAATTTTTCAGTTTAGTAATTTACTCTTTACTAGTATTCGTTATGAGTCTTAGCTTATCTACTGAGTTTTTCATTTCAGGAATTATATTTTTATATCCATAATTTTTGGGGGGGGAGATAGGCAAGTGAAGAACACAATTTTAAAACTATTGAATGAAAAACATAAGAATATTTCCAAAGAACAGAGAAATGTAAGTAAATTCCAAAATTCTTTTTTTTTAAAGGGGAGAATAAATAAACTAACTTTAGATTATTTTATTTAAAAAATGTATAGGTAAGTTTAGGTGAA